TGGCGACCCCCTCCAAAAGGCCCCAGGTGCGCACTGCTATACCCAGTGCCCCCAGCCCTGCAGCAGGCCGCCGCCGACCCACACCGCCCCAGAGACTGCTGGACACTCACGGGCAAGTCTGCGTCAGTCTCTCGTGGGGTCACTGCTGCTTGCTTCTGGGTCCTGGTGCGCATAAGCTTTTGTTTCTGCCATCCAGGAGTGCTTCTTACTGACTTACTTCACTAAACATAATATCTCTAGGTCCATCCACATTGCTGCAAATGGCAGAATTTAATTATTTTTTAAGGCTGAGTAGTTCCATTATGTATTTTTACATGTGTGTGTGTGTGGTGTATATATATATATATGTAACATATATATATTCATATATACCATATCTTTACCGTTCATCTGTTGATGGACAGTTAGGTTGCTTCCATACCTTGGCTATATTGTAAATAGTGTTTCTATGAACATTGGGGTTCGTCGATGTTTTCAAATTAGAGTTTTCATATTTTTCCAGATATATACCCAGGAGTGGAATTGCGGGATTGTATGGGAGTTCTCTTTTTAGCTTTCTGAGGACCCTCCATCCTGTTTTCCGTAGTGGCTGCACCAGTTTAGATTCCCACCAGCAGTGCAGGAGAGTACCCTTTTCTTCACATCCTCATCAACACTTGCTGTTTGTAGACTTTTTGAAGATAGTCGTTCTGACAGGTGTGAGATGACATCTCGTCATTTTGATGTGCATGTCTCTAATTATCAGCAATACTGAGCGTCTTTCCATGTGCCTATCTGTATGTCTTTGGGACAGGAGATTTTGGGGTGGAGTGGAGATAAACAGGGAGTTTCCGGGGTACATCTGATGAGGATGAGAACACAGACCAGAACGAGTTTACCTTGGAAGAGAGCATAATGCAAGAAGTCTACAGCTGAACCTTGGGGAACTCCAGCATATACTGGTAGTGGTAGGTATTTCTACAGAGGAAGCTGAAAACGAAAAGTCAAAGAGCTAGGAGGAAGATGGGGATGGTATCATGGGAGAGAGGGTGGCCAAAGGTGGCAGTATTGCTGGGACGTCAAGGTAGACATGCATAGAAAAACAACCATTGTGTTTATTGACAGTTTATTGTGGACCTTAATGAGGCCGTTTCTGTGGTGTGGTGGAGGCAAAAAGCAGGTTGGAGTAGGCTGAGTGGTCAGTGTATGAGAGAAGGATATGGATCCAAGAGTATAGACAATTCTATTGCTGTTGCAGGCAATATTGAATGCTGTTTGACATGAATGGGTTTTTTTTTAATTACAGGATTAAAATTGCAAAGCACCAGATATTCCTGTGTACCCCTAGAAGAGGTGCACATACTTCTGTAACAGATGATCTTTTACTCTGGAAAGGAGTTTCATTTTTGGTTATTGAACATATTCTTGAGAGGTGATTAATAAAATCAACAGTTATTTTTGCCAGCTGCTGGCTTACTTGCAAACAATCTTGCAGGCCCACTACGGGGTGATCAGTTATGCAGTTTCTTATCTCTGTGACTGCTGAAGTTAAAAAGGGGGAAATAAACCTGCCACGAAAAGGACCAGTCTGGGCAGGTGAGTCACTGTGGGGCAGGGCTGGCCTTGACCTCAGAATCATGGCTCCCAGGCCAGACTCTGCCTTTGACCAGGGTGACCTTTGGCTGTGGGGAAGCCCCTTGCCTCTTGTTTTCAGTTTCTTCATTTGTAAAATGAGAGCTTGGCTCTGAATGATTCCCGAGGGCCCCTCCATCTCTGAAATCCCCAGAGTGTGCTTTTTCAGATTAAAATTATAATTTCTCATTTGCTTATATTGAGAGTATATTAGATGAAATTAATGAGAAAGATTTTTGTTTGGTCCTTGTGAGAGCTGGTTTCTTGTTCATATGCACTTTGTTACTCATATATTCTGTTTTTAGAAAGTATGCAAAACATTAAATGGATTTATTTTTATAAAATATTAGAAGACATGATTTAATTTGATTTATCAAAGCTGCTTTACACTTAACATGAAATCATTGGGAGGTGAATTATTGCCAATTTAATTATTTATAGATATCTAGAGGTTATTTTTGCTATACTGTTTTTAATTTGGAAAACAGCACATCACCCAAACCATAGTAATTCACATTTTTCTATTTAACTAAAATCTCATAAACACTAGGCATGCCACATGAGCAAGCCTGCATATTTATTTAACCAGCCAGTACTATGTCTTTTTTAAAGAGGACTTTAGTTTTTAGAGCCATTTTAGATTCCTATTCACTCTAAATTTTGATTTTTTTCGTTACTCATATGAGATTATTTTTCCTTTTAAAATGAAATGATCCGAATCAACCGTATGTCTTCATTTTTTTTCCTGTTTTCATTTTGTCCTTACACTCCCCCCAAAAAATCAGTTTCCTGTTTTCTCAATTCCTGTATTCTCAATTTAAAATTAGAACCAGCAGTTTGGTGCAGGAGGGTGATGAGTGGGCCTTAACCCAGGAGGTGGGAGGCTCAAAATCAACTAGTCTGTTGAGATCTCCTGGAATCTGCAGAACTGCGCTTTACCACAGGAATGAGCAGACTCTCTCCAGGTCTTTCTCTGCCTGGAGTTTGAAAGCAAGACTAACTTTGGGACTGGATTTCTTAGAGAATTATGGAATGATACCCTGGCCATGTTTGTTAGAAAGCTTTGTACAATTCAACAAAACACTATACAGGGGGGAAAAGGCAAAAGTGCTATGGAAGATGTAGTTGGTTTCCTAACTGAAACCCATTCCTGTTTTTGTTCACCTTCACTCTAGAGGCTAGAAATGCTAAATTCTCTTATTAGCATGTTGCCACACCCCCCAAAATGTGGGTGTCTAGAATTGTGCTAATTGATAAGGACGAGGTGAGGGAAGCTCGTCCAGAAGAGCTGAGCTGCGTAAGCAGTGCCATCAGCTGCTTGTCTCTGGTCTTCTTGTTCTAGTGGGAAAGTAAACCCCAATTTGTTTAATTCAGTTTTAATTGATCCATGCAGCTAAAGGTATACAGTGAACATTTGAGGGTAAAAAGGGGCAAGAAAGGAAGACTTGATCTGATAGACTTTACAATCCAGAAAGCAATAAGTAAATGTAACTGGTTAAGAGCGAAAATAGACTAGTTAGCTAGCCTGCCCTTGGGCATCCTTGCATTCCATAGAGCACCAAACCTTAGGAGGTGAGTGAGGTGGGTGAAAGAAAGGGAGTGGTCTGATGGACATGGGGCTCACAGATGGAGTCTACACATGGCACTGCCGGCCTGGGGGTGAATGAGCCATTTCCATCCAAAAGCAAACTTTCCAACCAAGTGGGAGGTGGCCTGCTTGGCCCTCCACCGTCCTCTTTGCGCTCCCTAACTTTGGTTATCCCCAATTACCCCAAGCTTCCCTTGCCCCAGCAGCCTTCCATCTATTCAGTCATTACCTCGTCTCCACTACTTTTCCCAGTTCTTCAATTTAAGGTGATAGATGAAGGAAGCAGGATCACCAGTGACTGCAAGGTCATGCCTGGGTCTTGGAGCTAGGCATCTGTATGAAGGTTCTACAGATACTCACTAAAGGACATAGGAAAAACTCCCTCTCGTAATGGTCCAGGACCTCCATAAAACCATGGGAAGGAAGATGAAGCATCACTGAAGGGCCTCCCAGTGCCCACACACAAAGGAGTATGGACATTGGCCAGAACCTGTGTGCTGAGAGGAAACATCTCATTATAATGAAATGATTGCCGTGGAGAATTCAGCCAAACAGAGGACTATTCTTCTGAAATCAAAGAACATCTTGAGAACATCCAGTGCTTGTACTCAAACCACATTCCTCATAGGGATGTCCAGCCTGTGAATCTCTTATCCCTCAAAAAAAAAATCAATGCTTTTCTGAAACTCAGGGATTTTGCCAAGGAAACAAGTTGAAACTTCTGTCTACTCCTCCCCTGACAGAGCACCAGGGGGCTCCAAGAAGCATGGCCTCTCATCACAGATACTTGATGAGTACCCATGGGTACAAATGCTCTTCTGTTTATCTCCATTCTAACCCAGTCTTGGTCACCTCTGTCCTGCTGTTAAGATGCACAGGTTAAATTAGCCACTAAAAATGGCAGGAATTCTTGTGCTCTGCATCACCCTTCCCATCTCCCTGTCTTTCATTCCTCCTATCTTTCATTCTTCTATTCTGGATGGGCCAGAACCCAGAGGTGACAGGTAAAGGATAAGGACTTATCCTTTGACAAACTTCTGGACTTGATGCCTGTGATGTTGCCGCTTACCCATTAGTTCATGTTGAAAGTTCTCTGGATGAGCAAGGATCCTCTGTTAAAGGGAAAAAAAAAGCAATATCTTTAAAAGTAGTATTCATATAAGTAGAATCTCATTCTGCTGAATAAAACCATAACAGTTACTGTTACAAGAGGATTGTCTCGACATCTTGGCATGCAGCCCATAACCACTCTGCTTTACTGATAATAAGCAATATTGCTTTGCAGAGATGTTTCTTTAACTGATGCATTTCCTAAGTGGTTTCCTGTTGGCCTCTTTTTCCTTCCTCTTCTCTAGCTTCAAATACACAGCAAACCTCCATCCTGACCTCTCCTCTTTCTTTACTTTCTTAGAAGGTCCTTGAGAGCAGAGAACTTGTCTATCAGCCATTGGATAAAAACAGTACTTACTGGATATTATCTTTCACTGTCAGCTCTAAGTTGGTAATTCTCAAAACCCCCATCTTTTGTTCCATGCTCCTATCCACGGTTCATTGTTCTTTCCACTGAAAATTATGTTCATTTAAAAAAAAGCAATTTACTCAGGAGAGAGCTCTTCCTAAAAATAACCAGCATATATACAGTGTACAGCTGGAGGGCTTTGTGTACTTCCCATTTATCTTACAGAATACTGAAATGTCATGTATTCAAGGGTAAAGACTAAATAAAAATAATTTTCATTGCTTCTTCAAGGATATTCTTCACTGACTTTTAAGTGAAACTGGCTTTTTTTTTTCCTGTAAGTGCATGGAGCTGAAGAACAGCATGATGACTGCTAGCATCGCTGGTTCCAGGACCTCATGCCAAGGAGCCGACAGTTTTACCCACTGTTGCCTTTGCACCATCAGAGCAAAAGTCAAAAAGCAAAAGGAGTCTTCGTGTTATTACGAAAAGAGTTTTGACCTTATAAGACCTTTCCGGGGGTTCCATAGACCATACTTTGAGAACCACGGCCCTGTGCCATCAGGATGTCACGGTAAACAAGACAACAGTGGAGCTTACATTCTAATGATGGAAGACAGGTGACAAGGAGTGAGGTAAACAGGGTGACTTTATCGGGTGATCAGCTCTGTGAAGAGCATAAACAAGAATGTAGAGGACGTCCCTGGTGGTCCAGTGGTTAGGACTCTGCACTCCCATTACAGAGGGCACATGTTTGATCCCTGGTCGGAGAACTAAGATCCCACATGTTGAGCAGTGCAGCTAAAAAAGAAAAAAAAAAGAACGTGATAGACAGTCATGAGGGATGGAGGAGGGGCTGTTTTTGAGAAGGCCCCTCGGAGGAGGCGGCATCTGAGCCTAGAGCTCAAAGATGAAAGGAGATCTGCTATGTGCAAAACTGGGGAAGAGGATCCCAGGAAGATTACATATAGCAAAGGCCAACGTCCTGAGACAGGAAAGAGCTCGGCATTTGAAAGAGACAAGAAAGAAGGTAGTCAGGATGGGATAACAGCAGTATTATTTATAGTCCTTAAAATCCCTGTAGGGGAAATTTCCATGTTGTTATCATTAACAATAATAGTATATGTATTTAGCAAATCTTTGCAATAATCTTGTTATCCCCATTCTACAGATGAAGAAACTGAGGCCTGCAGAGAATGGAAAAGTTGGTGTCAGAGCTAGTACACCAGGCTGTATGGCCATGGAACCTATGCTTGTAATATTTAGAGCCTGTTTCTGAGAAAACAATTACTCAGCAGGTAAAACTTTTTTGTTAGTTCCCATAAACCCTTAGGGGTGTGTGTGTGTGTAATATATCTAATGTGTCACCTACAGATTGGCATTGCCATGGGCACTTGCCATCTGCCTATCTACCTCTGCAAGGATTGAGTGCATTTGCTGCTGCAACTACTGACCTTCAACACCCCTAAAAAGGGTTTGGGGTGAAGGGCAGAACATGAGGTGCTCTGTGCTCAGGGGACAACAGGCAGGTCAGCTCTTCAGATAGGTAGGTATTTTCAGGAGCCTATTTCATGAGCCCAATTCTTGTGTCTCCTCATATCTAGAAAAACACTAAAATCCTTAATGGTGATGACTTCCTCTTCACGAGACTGGTAGAAACCTTTTGAAAAAATATATGCTTGATTGCGTGTATTCCCCCTTCACCAAAGCCACGTACATACTCACCTTCCCCCTCTCCTCCTGCCTCTTTGGGACGGTTTCTCAGAGCTATCTGAGTTGCTGTCTCCTAGGCCACAGTCCTCATTTTGCCCCAAATAAAACTTAACTCCCAGCTCTCACATTGTGCATATTTTTAAGTTGGTAGATGTATCCCTCTTTTCTTGGAGTCTGGAGAACTTATGGTGTTGTTCAGTCACAAAGTTATGTCCGACTCTGCAACCCCATGGATCACAGCACATCAAGCTCCTCTGTCCTCCACTGTCTCCTGGAGTTTGCTCAGATTCATGTCCATTGAGTCTGTAATGCTATCTAGCCGTTTCATCCTCTGCCACCCCCTTCTCCTTTTGCCCTCAGTCTTTCCCAGCATCAGGACTTTTTCCAATGAGTCATCTCTTCACAGCAGATGACCAAAGTATTGTAGCTTAAGCTTCAGCCCTGTCAGTGAATATTCAGAGTTGATTTCCTTTAGGGGTGACTGGTTTGATCTCCTTGCTATCCAAGGGACTTTCAAGAGTCTTCTCCAGCACCACAATTCAAAAGCATTAATTCTTTGGTGGTCAGTCTTTATGCTCAAATTTTCACATCTGTACACGACTGCTGGAAGAAACATACTTTTAACTATATGGACTTTTGTCAGCAAAGTGCTGTCCCGGCTTTTTAGCACACTGTTTAGGTTTGTCATAGCTTTTCTTCCAAGGAGCAAGCGTCTTTTAATTTCATGGCTGCAGTTAACTGTCCACAGTGATTTTGGAGCCCAAGAAAATAAAATCTGTCACTGCTTCCAGTTTTTCCCCATCTATTTGCCGTGAAGTGATGGGACCAGAGGCCATGGTTTTAGTGTTTTGGACTTTGAGTTTCAAGCCAGCTTTTTTCACTCTCCTCTATTACCCTCATCAAGAGGCTCTTTACTTCCTCTTCACTTTCTGCCATTAGAGTGCTATCATATGCATATCTGAGGTTATTGATGTTTTTCCTAGCCGTCTTGATTCCAGCTTGTGCTTCATCCAGCCTGGCATTTCGCATGATGTACTCTGCATCAATATACAGTCTGGTTGTATTCCTTCCCTGATTTTGAACCAGCTCATTGTTTGTGTCCAATTCTAACTGTTGCTTCTTGTCCTGCATACGGGTTTCTCAGGAGACAGGTAAAGTGGTCTGGTGGTATTCCAATGGTATTCTCATCTCTTTAAGAATTTCTGTTTGTTGTGATCCATACAGTCAAAGGCTCTAGCATAGTGAAGCAGATGGAGAATTTTTTTTTTTTAATTCCCTTGCTTTTTCTATGATCCAACGAATGTTGACAATTTGATCTCTGGTTCCTCTGCCTTTTCTAAACCCAGTGTGTACATCTAGAATTTCTCAGTTCATACATTGCTGAAGCCTAGCTTGAAGGATTTTAAGCATTACCTTGCTGGCATGTGAAGTGAGCACAGTTGTATAGCTGTTTGAACATTCTTTGGCATTGCCTTTCTTTGGGATTGGAATGAAAACTGATCTTTTCCTGTCCTGTGGCCACTGCTGAGTTTTCCAGATTTGCTGGCATATTGAGTGAAGCACTTTCAAAGCATCATCTTTTAGGATTTGAAATAGCTCAGCTGGAATTCCATCACCTCCACTAGCTTTGTTCTTAGTAATGCTTCCTAAGGCCCACCTTGACTTCACACTTTAGGATGTCCGGCTCTAATTGAGTGAACACATCATCATGACTATCCGGGTTGTTAAGATCTTTTTTGTATAGTTCTTCTGAGTGTTCTTGTCACCTTTTCTTAGTCTCTTCTAGGGAACTAGAAGCTATTAAAGTCACAGACAGGAATCTATCTCTTGAGAAAGGAACAGTAGCCATCAGCTTGGTGAATGAAGTTTCTCTGAATAATTCTCCTGAGAAGTTTCTCTCAATGTGAGCAGTCTGAGAGGCATTGATTCTTTATGAAGTTTTGTTTTATTCTAAATGCTCTGTAGACGCAGTGAACTGTGAAGCTGAGCAGTCTCCTCTGACAGGTTCCTCTGTGCAGGTTGCTGGTTGAGACTAGTCTGACTTCCATGGTGGTCTGATAGGAATGTTACAGAAGTGTGGTGTCCCATTGCCAAATCTATGCAGAGATGCGGAAAGTTCTAATTCCCTCTCTAGGAGCAAACCTGGCCTGAGACACCCATCCACTCCCTCATCCCCACCCCAACTCTCAGTGAGGGGACCTAACTGTCAGCTTTGACCAGGAAAGGGCAACCTTTTGGAAATAAGGATAGTGAGACCACCCATGTCACGTTCTTGAGATGTTTGTGCAGATCTGCAGCATCTTTAGTCCTGTCTTTGTGGAAACTTCTCTGCTTTGCTTCTTCTCAGCTGCATCCCATCTGCAGCACTGGATGAAGGATGGAACCTAGCTTCAAGAGTCACTGTTACTTGAAGTCAGACTTACTCTCTGGTTGTGAGCGCTTTGTCCTCTCATTGGCAACAGAACTATGTTTCTTATGAGGCCAGCCCCTTTCCACAGCTTCGCCATCTGTACCTTAGCCCAAATAGTAGAGTCTGGCTTCTGCTCACTGGGGAGCCCTGCTCTGGGCTTTTAAAACTTACATGGTTCAATCAAAGTGTGATTCTGTACCTAGCCTCTCTTGACGACAAAGAAAATACAGTGTGTGCTGGTTTAATTTTCTCCCTCTGACTTTTGTAATATGTAGACTTAGAAGTTCTAGGAGGGCAGGATCTTGTCTGTTTCTGCTCACTTTTATACCCCCATCCCTGGCACAATGCCTGACACACCCTATTCATTCATTTAATGACTAGCTGAGTGGTTTCCCTGGACACATGGAAATAGATATGTGAATAGAGTAGAAGATTTATTCATCCACTCGGTCTTTTATTCACTATTCCAAAAATATTTATTGAGTACTGATTATGGGAGACACTCTGTTTGATGCTAGGAATACAAAATCCATGGGCGAAGCAGTCTAACCAAGGGGACTTTCCCAATTAGGTGGACTCCAAGAAATGGTCCTTTATTCAGTGAGTAGCATGAATCAAGAGACCTTTGCGTGTACCACACTGCTAAATCAAGGAAAGTAGAAAGAAAAGGAAAACATTTCCTTTTATCACAAGAGCTCTCAATCTAAAGGCCAGAGAACCCAGCCCTATGCAAAATACTAAACTTGTGCAGTGACACATATATGAACAAGAAAATGTTAACATGTCCCAAAACGCTGTGGCTCTCTGAGTAATTGAGTGATCATTACTCACGGTGTCTTTGTCAGTGTTTCTGTCCCGCAAAGCTGTCCCCACCCTCTGCTTTGCTGACTCTCCCTAATATAAATCTCAGGGAGGCTGTGTCTACGTCTATGTCCAGATGCCCCGGTTAGTCTCTCTTTTAAGAACCCAGTTCTTTTCCTCCTAATGCTTCATCCCAGTTTGCAGTTACACTTTTCTTTGTTTCTAGCCTTTCTCCTTCACCACACTGCAAGCTCCAGAAAGGCAGGGACTTTGTATGTTTTGATCAGGCTGTCTTTCAAACGTTGTGCACTGTGCCAATAAATATTTGTTTTAAAAAAATAAGGGTCGCAGCCAAATTCCTCCTTAAAATGTTTTGAAACCTGGCTGAGAGGGTTGTAGTGGTAATACCAGAAATTTCTGATACAGCTGGTCACATGGGCTTCATCTTTCCACGTTATTGCTTAGTGGCTGTGCTGGGCAAAGTTCTGATCTGGTTTCCTTTTTTAAAGACCTTATTTATTTTTAATTGTGATAAGGACTCTACTTTTTTTAAAATTTGTGTTTAAATTTTAAGGGATATACTTTCCCAGTATAAGTGATATCAGCTTTACTGACATTTTAGAAAGAAATGTTTTTAAACATCCACTGATGCAGAAACATATGACAAATTGAAAAAATTGATACTGTGGGAGATGACATAAGTGGAGCCATTTTAAAAAGAGCTGGAACACGCATTCTGGAGGAACTGCCATGCATATCCTCTTTTTTGACTTCTGAACTAGACCAAACTGCCAATCGTCTGAGAAGTCAGAAGAGAAAT